ACAGAAACGTCTCGCATTTAAAATGAATTGGGCTTGCTTCTGGTTGAGGAGTGGGTCTTGGGGTAGTAAATGTTGAATAGCACTTATTCCCACTGTATGGGGATGAAGGTGTATAAAGAATTTACATCAAGGGACACCCAGATAAGTGGGTTCCCAAGAGTAAAGTTGGAGATTTTCTAGTAAGTGGGTATCGGATGTAGGCAGGTAGATTTTGGGCTAAGAGTTGAAGAAAAATGATCGTTGCAGTTAGAAAAAGTACCGGTGACGATGTCTATAGAAGCTACTATGGGACTACCAGGTGGATTGTTGAGGCACTTATGGATCTTGGGAAGATGATAAAAATATGAGATACAAAAGAATTCTCTATTAAAGAATGCAAATTCTGTCTTGTTGATGACACCTTCTTGTAATGCTGTATGTAAAAGGGTGGGTAGCTTCTTTTTGAAATGAGGGTAGAGGGTCAGTGGGGAGGCGGGGTGTAGGTGGTATGGTCAGATAACAATCTATGGGCTTCTAATATGTATTCCGCTCTATCTTGAACAACAATTCCACCACCCTTATCAGCTGATTTTATGGTAATATCAGTATTGGTGGATAATCTAGTGAGCGCATTTTTTCCGTTAGAGGTTAGATTGGATGAGATGTGGGAAATGATAGAGCTCTGTTCACACATCTGCAACATGTCAGAGTACACCACTTGATAGAAGGTTTCAACCTATGGACCGTTTGTATCGGTGGGATTAAATAATGATTTGGGTCTAAATGTGGTATGTTGTATAGGAGGGAAGGATGGACGTTGTTGAGTGAGGATGGACACATAGGTGTCCTCATCCTCTGTGTAAAGATCTTGTAATGCAGCAAAGCTAATGGCATCTAATGAGTCATTGGCATCTTCAGTAGACGTTGGACTAATTGGAGAAGTCAAGAGTCCCATGGGGTAGTTAGTGGTAGAGTTATTCTTGAAAGCTTTAATATTTTAAAAGTGTTTGACTGTCAAGTCCCTCACAAACTTATTAGGATCAACAAATAGGATGAAAGGGTTGGGAGGGGCCAAAGGGGCAAAAATTAGTCCTCTAACGAGTAATGAAATGTCTTCTTTAGCTAAATTATAAGTTGAACCAACTACACTGAGACATACCTGTTTTTACTCTATATTTGTAAGTGTTTACTTATTAAATTGCCTGGTTTTAACACACCTACACTCAGAGTGGCGCCGCCGTGTTATCTCTTTCTCTATCTGTGTACTAGAGTTACTTTAAACCCTGACAGCTGACTGCCACTACCTCCAAGATCCACATCCACCCAGAGATTATTCTCATCTTTGGACTTCCAACAATATGACAATGCCGGATCACATACCCACAAGTCCCAAATTACATGTATGGACTCATATATTATCTCCATCCTCCCCTGTTCACTACTCTTTTAAACAAGACTAATAAAGAGGTGTTACTAAGAATTATAAATATGAAATATGTCTGAACCCAGAGCTTAAGAGGTGTCGGAAGGCTTGCAAGGTCAGGGCAACAACTGGGGAAAAGGATTATCAAGTGGCCCCTCTGAAGGTAGAGCTACATGGTATGGTCACCACAAGGTTAATCAGCCAACTGCTAAGCACAGACTTAAGATACATGTATGGGAGCCAATTTACCCCATGAAATGAGTTCTAATTTTGTCCAGCCAGTTCTGAGATTTACACAGCCTTGGCAGACAACACAGCCAGGTTGGTAAACTTCACTTTTCCCTAATGCAGTAAACAGCCTGGCCACCTCCATGCCTTCAGCCTGTGATTGGATTTTATGGGATCAGCATCAGACTGATCATTACTCTCTTTCTGTTAGTATGTTCTTGGTTAACACAAGTCCATACAGTGGAATTCAATTATCTCCAGGTTCTCCTCCCCCACCTCCCCTCCAGGATCAATGTGTAAAGGATTACAGGAGACAGATAACAAGATGTAGGTAGTTATGCTAACTTCATAATTGTTTTTTTTTTCTACTTGTCTAGAGATCATACATTTTCTAAATATACTGTATGTGAGTGGGTTTAGGAAATCTATTGAATCCAAGGTTGTATTCAGAGATCACACAACCCTAGGAAGAAGAGTGATAACACACTTTGTGCTGGCTTCTTCCCCTCTTTTCCCTTTTCATAGTATGTGATTATAATTTTTTGTGAAACTATAACCAGAATAATGTTTTATACTAATGCTTTACCATTTACTTATCAACAGCCTGGAGAGAGAGAGCAAATGGTGGTATGTTACTTTAGCCACAGAGAATCTTGTAACTCCCCTGAGCAGCCCCTGTATTCTCTTGCTTTTGAGTTCTGGATGTATCCAAAAGGGTCTAATATTGGTCTAGTCAACATAAAATTAAAAAATACATTAATTGTAAATATGAGAATACTAAAAATAAGAAACATTGGCATTCCTCCTACCCTATAAATTCACTAAACAACTTAGAAAATAAAGACACCATGCAGCTAACAGCAAAAGGAATAGTTTATCAAGCTTTAGAAATACAGTATATAAATATGATATAGTGCTGATAATAACAATCTAAAAACATAAGAGAATAAAAAAAACATTCTGAAAGTACCACTCATCCTCCTCATCCCCCTCCTCTTCTAGCTTTTTTTTTTTCTGGTAGCGGGTACCATTTTCTGACAGGTACCTGCTTCTACTTCCTAGGCGACAATTACATCAGCTTGTCTCACAATCCAGGAGACTTTGGAACCAGTCCCACATTGCTGGTGTGCTCTGCGCTTGTGCAGTAGTGAACTGGCTGCATGACCTCAGGAAGTCGCAGTTGGGTCCCATATTCAAGATGGTGACACGGGTCAGCTGACGTCCAAAGAAGAATTGCCCTTGAGGAAGACAGTGCTGGACTCCATGGGTTGGTAAGTGTCTATTTCTTAAAAGTTAGCAGCTATAGTACTAAAGTTCCTCTAAATATTAATATCCTGTGATGTGCATAACTCCACCATTCACAAATACAACAACAGTGTCTCTTCACTGTAGATAAAATGAAACTAATGTTCATATAATTTGTAATTGGATTTTGTTTTTTTTCTGTCTGTGTACAGCTCTGAATACAGACAGTGTGCATTAGGGGCCACTCACCTACACCTGCACGCCTGTAAAATGTAGGATCTGCGGCTGTTTGTACATAGAGAAACTGATGGCTCCAGATGCAAACTGCTCAATCATGCTGTATGGGCCATAGAACCTGTGTGAATGAGCCCTTAATGTTTTCTTTTCTTTTTTTTAATGATGTTTTTTTTCATAACCCTGTTGGGAGAGCTTTGGTGAAATATCAGGGGTCTCTGTGATGGAGAAAGGAATTGAGGACATAGATCCCCAATCCTTTCTCTGCAGCTTCAGCTTCACTGGATATGAGTTAACAGGAGGTGCTCTGTACAGAGGCAGTTAATTCGAAATGATTGGTGCTGATCGCTCACTGTTCATTCAGAAAAGGAAGGGACTGGTAAATATGACATGTCCTGAAATGACCCCCCTGTGTGCCCACAGCAGCTGACAGCCAGCTAAAGGGAGATGAAGAGAAGGCAGCAGCACTGCGAGGGAAAGGGGCACATGGGGGGGTCTGGGCAGCAGGGGGAAGGGGATCGTGGACAGGGAGATTGATCAGAGCGCTGTGGGTGGGAAAATTGCTGGAACTGATCTCCCTGTGGCTCCCCCTGCTGCAGCTGAAATCCAGTGGGAGGGAGATAAGAAGAAGCCAGCTTTTAGCTGCCACAGGGAAAGCCACAGAGCTTAGTAATTCCCCCTCCCCTAGTAAACTGATCATACCCTGTCCATGATTCCTTTACCCTGCTTTACAGCTGCCAGGCCCCCCTCTGCTTGTCACCCAGCCCAGAGAATCACTGTGACACTGGTCATTGCGACAAAATTTCTGGAGGGGGGGCGGGTGGACCCCCTCAACCCCCCTATCTACACCCCCTGCAGTGTGGTGGTGCAGCATATACAGGGTTAAAATTGGTGCTTTCTCAATGCCTGCCTAAATACCTCTGTAAACCAATTCTCCATAGATCACTTTTCAGAGGTGTAACAGTGACAGCCACATGCATAACTATAGCCCTAAAATTCATTAACAGAGATGAACATATTTATAAAAATCTTATCTGTCTCATATTACGGACCATCTTGTTATTTCATCATTAATACCGGTATACAGAGGTTTCTGAACATTCATAACAGCTGAAAGTTGCATCATTTATTTACTTATTTATTGATTCATGATAGTAATAACACTGGCACTTCTCAGCAACTGTTTTATACTGATACTGGTTTGCATTTTTATTATAATACTTGTGTATCCTCACTTGGAACCTAGTGCTGACTTCACTAATGAGCCTTTATTTCTGAGTCACTGCATGACTCACAGACCCAATTAAAGAGTAATGATTGTAACTATCATAGATTATGACCTTGTTGTGATCCAGTAAAAGGGATGCTATCACATATACTTTAAAGGGAAACTGCCATGTTTTGTAGGTTAAAGCTGATGTTTTATACTCTTCTTCTACAAAGTTTAAATAAATCTTTATTTCACAAATAAACATTTAAAATAAACTGCCTCTCTTTATAATGGAAACTCTACATCAAGGGTAGGCAACCTCTGAGAGAGGGAGATCTACCTGAACAACATGAAAAAGATCCAAGATCACCGGGGTTCTGTGCCCTTTTTTTTAAAGAAATTAACAAGCAAGGACTAACTAAATAACAAGATAAATTTGGAAAAATATAATAAAACAAATGTCAAAATATAAACTTAGCCTACCTTTTAAGTGGACAGTGTCAGTAGGGCAATGGACGATGTCAGTAGTGCAGTGTCAGTGGGGCAGTGGACAGTGTCAGTAGGTGTAAGGGAATCCCGGTGAGCTGATTGGTGAATAGAAGTGCGCATGCGCACAGAAATGTGCGATTGTGCACGCGCACACGCACGGTGAAGATTGGCGCCAGATGGACTATTTAAAAGGTGCCTCTGCCTGTGCTGACTGGTCTTCAGCTGTTCCCCATTTTCTGCTCATTCCTGTGTGATTTCCTTGTTGCTGACCCGGCTTGTTCCTGACCTGACTCTGATTACTCTCCTGCTTGATACTTGTTCCTGACTTCGGCTCTGATCCTGACTTTGTCAGGTACCCAGGTACCTGGGTCCATTTACAATTAAGAGAAAGATTAACCCCGTTGCTTTTGAATTTATGCTACCAAAGAATATGAAGATCCATCCGGTATTCCATGTCTCCCTATTAAAACCAACAAGACCAAGTTTATTTCCGGGTCGAGATCCGGAAACTCCTGCTTCACTGCTGGCTGAAGGTAACGAAGAATATGAGGTGGAGGCTATCCTGGTTTGTAGAAAGAGGGGTGGTCAGACCCAGTTCCTCATCAAATGGAAAGGCTACGGTCCAGAGGATAATTCCTGGGAACCATCTGCTAATGTCCATACTCCACAATTAGTTAGAGCTTACCTTCACCTTCATCCTGAAAAACAAGCTTTAGTAGGCATCCGGAGGCTGCCCCTAAGGGGGGGGGGCAATGTAAGGGAATCTCGGTGAAACGATTGGCAAATAGAAGTGCGCATGCGCACAGAAATGCACGATCGTGCACACGCACGGTGAAAATTGACAACAGACGGACTATTTAAAAGGTGCCTCTGCCTGTGCTGAGTGCTGACTGGTCTTCAGCTGTTCCCCGTTTCCTGCTTGTTCCTGTGTGATTTCCTTGTTGCTGACCCGGCTTGTTCCTGACCTGACTCTTGATTACTCTCTGCTTGATACTTGTTCCTGACTTCGGCTCTGCTCCTGACTTTGGCTGCTTATGATTTGGTACCTCGCTGTCTGCCCGTTGATGGCCCCAGCTATTCCTATGACATTGCTCCTGTCTTCCATCCCAGCTTCCTGCCTTGCTCTGGTGCACACCTAGCGACCTACCATACCAGCTCTGCATATCACTACTGTTCCTGAATCGGAGGTTCATCAGTCTTCCAAAGTCTCCAGCTGCAAGAGCTGCAAACAACATCTGCTGGCGCTCTTGTCCCCCTGGTCCCTAGAAACCCTCTGTTCCACTTCCAGTGGGGTCAGGGCTAGTGACACAAGTGAGGCCGACCTCGTCATTTCAGTCTCCAATCAGGTACGTGACAGTACCAATCAGCCAGTGATGGAGTATGAAAGGGAGGCCTCTGCAATGGGGTACATCTGTCAATCAATCTCTGCCTTATCTTACATGGTGCAGAGTTTTCAAAGAAAACCAACTACCAACCAAGTCAGATGTCTCAACAGCCATGGGTCCCTCTGCAGTTTCAGACATAACTACCCAGACAGAGCTCAGCATGATTCGTGGAACTACCAGAACCCCGGGTGCTAATACCATAGTATTTCTTGGGAGACCACAGGAAGTTTCTAACCTTTCGTAACTCCTGTGAACTATATTTTTCTCTGCTACCAAGAACCTTTGCATCACAAAGCACCAGAGTGGGATTCATTATTTTACTCCTTCAGAATGAACCCCAATCCTGGGCACACCACCTTTGTGAGCAACATGATCCGGCTCTGACTTCTATGGACTCTTTTTTCTCAGCGATGTCACAACTTTACGCTGATCCCTTCCATCATCAGACTGCAGAATCTATGCTTAGCAAGCTACAGCAAGGCCAAAGGCCTATAGAGGAATATGTCACTGAGTTCCGTATATGGAGTTCTGACACTCAATGGAATGAGTCTGCTCTCCACCATCAGTTTCGCTTTGGTCTCTCTAACATCTTGAAAGATGAGCTTGCCCGAGTTGGGGTATCAACCAGGCTAGAGGACCTGATTAACCTTGCCATTCAAATCGACCGACTGATCCGGGAAAGGCGGGATGAAAGAACTAGCAGGGGTGTCTTGATCTGCTCAGAAATGGAGACTCCTGTCTCCTCAACCACTGCTGTCACATCAGACATACTCCCCAGCAAAAGAGGGCATCGTAATTCTCCTAGAAGGAGCTTTTGGAGACCACCGTTATCCTCTGCTGAACGTCTTCGACGACAAAACTCCAACCTTTGTCTCTACTGTGGTGATGCGGGTGACTATGTACTGACATGTCAAGTGATACCTCATAAGCCTTCTCCTAGCTGGTTCCATATGATGCACCCCCAAGGAAGGAGTGAAACGCACCTCTCCTTCCATCTTCACTTACAACTTGCTGAAAGAACTATTACTGTTCTAGCAATTATAGACTCTGCTGCCTGTAGTTGCTCATGGATTCGACCTTCGCTAATCAAAACAATATCCCTCTCCGTACTAAGACACAAGGATTTTTGGGCCATCTGGCTGATGGTATCAGTTCTGACCCAGTGAATCAAGAGACTATGCCAATTTTCTGCCACTCCTCCTCGGGACCTCAGGAATTTCTATGTCTGGATGTCATAACCTCACCAATGTTTCCAGTCATCCTCGGCATGCCCTGGCTAAGGGCACACAACCCATCCATCGATTGGCTTTCTGGGGAGATCCTCTTCCCTTCCGAATACTGTCAGAACCATTGCATTCCAAAGGAACCATGCGCAGTGACTCCTCTTCTTAGTATCCATCCTGATTCAGAGATGATGAAACTTGTCCCTGCAGCTTACCATGACTACTTGGATGTATTCAACAAGAAGCATGCCAATGCTCTTCCCCCGCACCGGCCCTACGATTGTCCTATTGAACTTCTGCCCGGTGCTGAAATTCCTTTTGGGCGAATTTACCCCCTCTCCGAATTGGAACTAGGGGTCCTCCAGAGTTATATAGATGAAAGCCTGGAAAAAGGGTTTATTCGGCCCTCTACATCACCAGCGGGAGCTGGCATCTTCTTTGTCGAAAAGGAAGATCATACTCTTAGACCATGTGTGGACTATCGTGATCTGAATAAGATACAGTCAAGAACCGCTATCCTCTTCCCCTGATTCCCGAATTGTTCCAAAGGCTACGAGGGGCATGTGTCTTTTCAAAATTAGATCTGAGAGGTGCATACAATTTAGTCAGAATTCATGAAGGGGATGAATGGAAGACAGCCTTTCGAGCACGCTTTGGGCATTTCGAATACCTGGTGATGCCATTTGGCCTCTGTAATACCCCAGCAACGTTCCAACACTTCGTTAATGATATATTCTGGGACTATCTTGATCTATTTATCATCGTTTTTTTGGATGACATCCTAGTCTTTTCCAGCTCAATTGAACGACACCAGGATCATGTAAAGAAGATACTGGGTAGATTACTCCAACATCACCTCTATGCCAAAGCTGAAAAGTGTGAATTCGACAAACAGACTATTCAGTTCCTCGGACTTGTCATCACTTCCGATGGCATTGCTATGGATCCCCAAAAGGTGACCTCTGTATTAGAACTGCCCATTCCAAGAGACAGGAAAGCAGTACAACGCTTCGTGGGATTTGCCAATTTCTATAGGAAATTCATTAAGAACTTTTCAGGTATCATTGCACCAGTCACGCAGTTAACCAGGCAACATGTTGCTTTCAAGTGGACTCCCGAGGCTCAAGCAGCGTTTGAACAATTAAAGACCTTATTCACTTCTGCTCCTATCCTGAAGCACCCAGATCCTGCCTTAGCTTATGTGCTTGAAGTAGGCGCTTCTGAAGATGCTGTTGGAGCCATATTGTCGCAATGACAGGGACTCAAATCCCTCCTTCACCCTGTTGCCTTCTTCTCTAGAAAGTTAAGCTCCCCTGAAAGGAACTATGACGACGTGGGAGACAGAGAGCTGTTAGCCATCAAGGTGGCCCTTGAGGAATGGCGCTACTTGCTGGAGGGAGCTTCCTACCCAGGGGCGGACTGACCATTTGGAAACTCGGGCACTGCCCGAGGGCCCGGGGTCAGTAGGGGGCCCCATGAGATGCCCCTGGTACCTTTTTCATAGGTTTTTTTGAGTTTGGGCAAGGACACAGGGGCCCCATGATCCCCTATTGCCCAGGGGCCCCATGAGTTGTCAGTCTGCCCCTGTTCCCACCCTATCTTCATCTTTACAGATCACAAGAACCTAGAGTACTTGAGACCTGCAAAACGCCTAAGGTCACGGCAGACAAGATGGGCACTGTTCTTCCGCTTTTTGTTTCACTTGACATACCATCCAGGATCAAAGAACGGCAAGAATGATTCGGTCTAACGCATGTTTCATGACCCAATTGTACCATCTGAACCTGATATGATCCTGCCAGCTAAAAATGTTTTACTCCTACGGACAGATCTTGTAGCACAAATAAAAGAAGTGGTTGATGATCATCCACCCCCTTTGGAAATGCATCTTCAGCTAAGAGACGGTCTGTATCTTCACAAAGAATAGATTTATATACCAGAACAACTCAGAACTCTCATTCGTAAAAGATGTCATGATCATCCTTTAGCTGGTCACTTCGGGATCCAGAAGACCTCAGATTTGGTCTCCCGTTCCTTCTGGTGGCCAAATTTAATGAAGGATTGTAAGAGCTATGTTAGATCTTGCTCAGTATGTCTCCGAAACAAGTCTGATAAAGCCAAAACCTGGGGCCTGTTGGAATCTCTGCCAGTACCTGAAAAGCCAAGGAGTATAATTTCTCTGGATTTTATTGTAGAGCTTCCCCCATCTAAAGGGTTCACCACCATCTTTGTCGTGATTGATCGTCTGTCAAAAATGGCCCACTTCATTCCCCCGAGAGGTTCCCTTCTGCCGCTGAGACTGCTTTTATGAAAGAAACTAAACAGACCCCTGATGTCTCAATTTTGAGACAAAGGGATTGATGACAGAGATTCCCCAAGTGCTTTGTGTTGAGCAGCTTCCTGTTCATTCACAAACTGAAGAATAGTAAAGACAGTTTACTATGCTTCAGCTCTCATCAGCTGAAAGGAGGGAAGCCAGCAGCACTGCAGAAATGGGGAGGGAGGACATGGGGAGATTGGAGCAGCTGAAAGAGAGGAGAGTTGGTGGGGGCGGCATTTGCTAGAATTGATTGACTGTATGTTCCTCTTGCAGCTGCTGAATACGGTGAGGGAGAGGAGGAGACAATGCCTTCAGTGGCTGGCAGCCAATCAGTTCTAGTAAACATCGCCCCCGCTGCCTTTCCTCTCCAGGTGTGACAGGGAGTCCGCATAGGGATGGCAGCGTCTGGGGCACGTGATCCCCCCCCCCCCCACCTCATAATGACAAATGTCCCCCCTAGTAACAGTCAGTGTCAGCAGGTGTTGTGCTACAGTAAATATCTGCTAAACGGTTCAGGTTTAGGAAATATTTACAGTACCTACAGGCAGGCCTTATTAAAGGATTACCTGTAGGTAAAAGGTGCAAAATAGTGTTTACTTCCACTTTAACCTTATCTTATATTTTTTACATTCATTTTTATTTAAAATATTAGGCAGGAAGAGTATGCATTCAAGAATATATCAGAACACATCTAAAGATCAATTCTACATTCTATTACATATATAAAATAACCACCAATCCTAAGTATGTTCTACATCTGGAGCAGAAAAACTACAGGAGGTAATTTACCAAAAGGGATGGAATGTTTATTTAGCCCAGTTGCTGCATGTACAGGGAATTTAGAAACAGAAAAACAGGAATTTTCTTTGCGCCTGATTGGATGATTGAAATTATTGTTAGAATGCGATGTAAACATTGTACTCCTTATTAATGTAATTGTGTTTAGGTAATGTTACATTAAAGCACATCTCTTAAGCCAAAATTTATATTTTTTTATTTTGCATTTGCATATTTTTATATTTTTTTGGGGTAGGAAAGGACTAGAATACCTGTCAGATTTTTGTGTGTCCCTGCTATTTCTATTGTTCTGGTAACTATTGTCACCAAAACAGAAAATGATAGGAAACTCAAACACCCATAATGGTTACAGGGGGTAAATCTTCCAATATATGGAC